GTTGGCTAGGGTCTTCCTAAGCTGCTGAGGCTGGCTTTGAACCGTGATCCTCTGTTTCAGTCTCCCAACTTAAAGTTTTTATTATTCAAATTTTAGTGAATATTTGAACTATATCTATTTTTCGTCTTTTTGTAAAGAGACTGATCTTTTATACAGCTAGTGTTGAGAATATAAATATAATCAAAGATAGAAGTCAGAAGAAATGAAATTTCAAAATACTAGATATTTTCCTTAGGATCTTTCAGAATGATCCAGTAGTATAGAAATTTTGCCTTTGTTGATAAAAAATACTTAGTAATAATAAGTAGCACTTACAGAGAATTACTGTAGTATGGTAGGTGACTTTCTTAAATACTTTACATGTATTAACTTATTGAGTGTATATAAAGTCCTTTTGAGCTGGGGTTATCATTCTGTTTTTACAGATAAAGAAACTATGAAAATAGAGTAGCTTGACCATTGTGTAGCTAGGAATGTGGTCAGTATTTGGACCCATGTATTGGGCTCCAGAACCAGATTTGAAGTACCACTGATCCTCCAATTCTGAGTTATAGTAGCATTTCTTGAATTCTTTTCTGAAATTTCCTATCAACTATTTTTGTGAAACTGGTAATGTTTTGAGTAATAAGAACTCCCAGAAAGATATTAGTCTAAAGTAGAACCTGAGTGATAAATGAGTTTGAAGAGTTGGAGTAGATGGGAAAGTAGAGAAATAGGGACGTTCTTGGTCTTGTTAAATTGATGTATCTTCAGAGGAAGAGAAAGTCCCTGGTGAAGAAGAAGGTGGGAGAAGATCAAGATTGGAGTTTAGGTAACCCTTTGAAACTTGATTTTGTGTGTGTGTGTGTGTGTGTGTGTGTGTGTAGATAGATAGATAGATAGATAGATAGTAGTGCTGGTGATCAAAGAAGGATCTTGCACGTACTAGGCAGCTGCTCTGACCCTGAACTTTATGTATATGTTTAGCCATGAAACTTGATGATCCTATGGAGAAAGGATAAAAGAGGATCCAAAAGATCCTGGTTCTAATAGATACTCATATTTTAGCTAGCTTCTGGCCCTTTGTGAAATAATGTATTTAATCTGAAATTATTCTTATTTTTGGTATCAAGGATTGAGTCCAGGGGTGCTTAACCACAGTGCCACATCCCCAGCCTTTTAAAAAAATATTTTTACTTAGAGATAGCATATTGCCAAGTTGGCTAGGGCCTCGCTAAGTTGCTGAGGCTGAGTTTGAACTTGTGATCCTCCTGCCTCAGCTTCCTGAGATGCTGGGATTAGAGGCATGTGCCACTGTGCCAGGCTTCAAATTACTTAATTCTTAGAATTTGAAGATTAAGAATATGAATAGCATAAATAAATTTGGTAACTGCTAGGATATCTTCTGAAAGACAGTTTATCAAATTTCAGATGAGTGTACTTCTAAAAGTAATGGTCAATTTAAAGTGGCTTTCATTTTTACCACCACCTTTTCTATTTCTCCTAGCTCTTAGCTGCCTTGTACAATTAATCATTTATGAGGCTCTATGGGTGATGATCATAAGGGGTTTTAATTTTTCAGTGTCTCAATTTTTAAAAATCTAACACAGGGACAGTTACCAGTATTTTATGAGGGTTTGTTGAACAAATCCATGTTATGTACTCAGAATAAAACTTTACCCATAGTAAGCACTATAGAAGCATTATTATTATTATTATTTTTTGTGGTATTGGGGATTGAACCCAGGGCCTTATGCATGCAAGGCAAGCACTCTACCAACTGAGCTATATCCCCAGCCTAGAAGCATTATTATTAACACCATTATTTACAGAGTTAAGGTTTCTGTTAATATTTTTTTTGAACCTGTGCCTTTACTCTGAAACTTTCTGCCTCTTCCCACAGATCCATGGAATATTGGGTCAGTACCACAAACAAAAAAACACACTTTTATAGTTGGGTGTGTTAATGCTGTAAACACATATGAAATTATATAATCGAGTAGGTATCATTTTGAGTGGCCAACTATTTTAAAATATTTTATGTTAGGCTTGCAATTAAACTCTTCCTGATGTATTTAGATTTTATTTGTCTTTTGCATTTTGGGGGATCAACTGTAGTGTGTTGCACACGATCGGAAAATCTCTGTACTAGTGGCTACATGCCCAGCCACGATGTGTTTTGAGCTCATTTTTTAATAGTTATAGAAATCATTCTGTATGGGGTTGTGCACACCTCTACCATATAATCTCCCCACTGCCCCCTGCTTTTTGTGTGTGTGTGTGTGTGTGTGTGTGTGGTGCTGGGGATTGATCACAGGGCCTTGTGCATGTGAGGCAAGCACTCTACCAAGTGAGTTATATCCCTGCCCCTTTCATTTGTTTTAATAGAGATTGGTAAATGTTCTTTAATTATAGTATGTTAATTCCTTATATAATCCCAGTTTTGTAAATTATGCAAGAGGGTAATCTGTATTAAATACACATGCACAAAGGCTATACAATATTTTGTTTGCATTATGCTTGTTTCCTTGTAAAGGGGCATCATTTTGCTCTATTTCCCATTTTGTGGGTGACAAATCTAAGAGTTTGTAAATTCAGGTGGGCTATAGTTCATTAAAGGTACATTCAGGAGACGGTCTTTTGTATTTGCAATGTAATATTCTGCTCATCTACCAAGTTGGGTAGTTTTCAATTTTGGAGATTTTTTTTTTTCCTTAATAGAACAATTTGTAAGTTGGGAGCATCAGTATTTGAATAAAGTAAATGAAAAGTTAAGGTTGGAATATAATAACTGCAGTACTTCAAGTTGGTGAAGAAGAAAATAGCTGAGGCAACGTTATTCCAGGGACTATACTATCATGATTTGTCATTAAAATTTCCTAGCTAGATTTTCCTAGCTAGATTGATATGTACTATACATTGATCTAGATTTGAATCTTAATATAGTATTTTAAAATCATATTATCTATAAGGTATAGTTCATACTACATTCATACCACATACAAATATTTATTTAATGAATATGATAATATTGTAAGGACATTTTTATTACTTGGCCACATCTTTCTAACTATAGTAATTTTGTTGTGAAAAAGTCCGATATTTTTATCTCATTGCATGAAGCATAACAGCCATGGACTTAAGTTGATATAATATAGACACCACAAGAATTAGAATTCTGAAAATTAGCGGTAGTTTATCAGTTGAGAGTCTCCTAGTAGTTGTTTGGGCAACCCTTAAGGGGTGCTTGTGTTTCTAAGTATTAAGATGTGATTACTCTGACAATGTATTACCATGTTTTAGGAGATAACCAGTCTCACATACCCAGTTTTCAGAAGATTAATTACATTATTTATGATTGAACGAGAAGTCATCTTTTTATAAAAAAGATTTGATGATTTTTTTTTTTTTTAACCTTTCTGTAGCATGATGACAGAGATGATGGTGTGGATTATTGGGCCAAGAGAGGAAGAGGTCGTGGTACTTTTCAGCGTGGCAGAGGGCGCTTTAATTTCAAAAAATCAGGTAGCAGTCCAAAATGGACTCATGACAAATACCAAGGGGATGGAATTGTTGAAGATGAAGACGAGTCCATGGAAAATAATGAAGAAAAGAAGGAGAGACGTAAAGAAGAAAAGGTAGATAATTTCACCTTATGATTCTTGAAAGATTTTTGCTGGTATGAATTTGGTGGGTAAATCAGTTAATTTTTATGAACATGGGATTATAGTATATTTTCACTGTCCTTATCCTTATTAATCATCAATTTCTCTATTCTTTTCTTAGGAATAGTGTATCTGAAGTAAATTGGCAACAGAGAGCAGAACTTGCACCCACCATTTTTTTTTTACCTGATTTTTGTTTCAGATAAGAATGTAAGCATTTTACTTAAATTTTACTGTTTGCAAGTAGTCTATAGAAATTTTGTTTTAAGTCTTCAAATATCTTGAAAAATAGTAGACTGTATGTTGAAAATTGTACTGAAATAAAGTAGAAAATTGTTAACGTTCCATATTTGTAACTATCAACTTTTAAAAAAATCTTTTACTGTTTTTGTTACATGCATTGTAATTCTGCTTTGTCTATAAGATATGGTCAAGTACAACTCTGTGAAAGTTCTGATTCTCTTCCCTCCCTGTTTGTTAATGTTTTATTCTGAAGTAAACGTTAGCTCTACATTACAAATCCCTGAACAGAAATTGTTTATAGTGACCACACTAATTATTTTAACTGTATACATCTGTTTAACATCTTCCTTAATTCGAACACTACATTGTAGGGTGGCTAATTTTTGATGTATACCATAAAGTTGTTCTTTTGGTAAACTATGCTAGTTTCACACTTCAGCAAATGTTTAAAGAAGGCAGGAAAGGTTTGCCAGTAACTAAAAAGTACAAACTATTAAAAGTTAGATTGAAAGGTTTGAGAAAATGTTATTTTTACTGAAAGCAAGCAGTGGCCTATAAAAACACATTTTTACAAGTCTTTCCTATTTTAGTTTAAAATTCATTGTTTTCTTTTTATTCTTATTTGATAGTTTGAGTCATGGTCTTAGATACCAGCCATTTGAGAGAAAACTGATTTGTAATAATATTGCAAGTAAAACTCCGAGTACCACAGAACATCTTAGTATTAAGGAAAAAGAAACAAAAACAACAACAAAACCTGTAATCCTGGTGTTGGTGTGGAGGAGGATTCCTGCAGAATAAATTTGATGCGTTAGTATATATTTCACAGCTTACATATTTATTTGTGCTTTTGAACAGCTGAAAATTAGTTTGTAGTGTAACCATAAGAAAATAAGACACACAGCATATTGTTCCTTGGTACTTTAAGTAACCTGTTTTTCTAATGTCACCAATAAAAGGTTTTGGCAATGTTGTAGCATTGATCTACCTTGGTTTTTATTTTATTTTTTCTTCCTTTTCAGTTGCATTTGGTAAAATGGCTTTTTCTTTTACTTTCCATGGGTTCTATTCTTCAGGTAGAGATGATCTTTTAAATATTAATTACTTTCTATGTTTATGTTAATAGCTTTTTTTAAAGGAATGAAAATTTGAAATGGGTACCTTTGCCGGTGATTTTGTTTTTTCAACATACATAAAGCTAGCACATTTCATTTTAATTCAGCAGCTGAATTAGTTGTATATGTTTACATTTGAAGAAGATAATGCTTCTGTTATAAAATTTTAAAGATCTTAAGTATATGGCTCTTTCATCCTCAATTTTGATGATTTGCAGTGTGTCTAGCACCTTGATTACTGCCAGGGACGTTTGCTAAGAGCTATTGGAAACGAAACTAAAACCAAAGTCAGTATATATTTGTGGCCTAAACTCCTTGCATGATTTCTCACTTTAATTTTGTCTTTCTGAAATTGTCTAGTTATATAGAAAATGCCTGCATAAGTAACTTTGTGTTGCTTTAATCAGGATACAACTAATAAACCTCTATTCAGCATAATGCTTATTAAAGCTTAAAGCAACATGGATTTGATCCTCCAATAGAGAATTTTCATGATTGTTCTGTTTTGTATAAGTATATAAAACTTCTATCTTAATTGTTAATTTTACTAGACACCAAATCCCTCCTTATAATTGTGCAGTTTTGCTTTTCTGCTTAAGACAGAGAAAATGGGATTTGCTGAGAAGTTATTTAATAGGGAGATAAATTGGAAATAAAAGTGCTTAAGGTCCTATGGGCAGGTTACATTCTAAGTGCAAATGCATTGCTTTAATCTTTGGTTACTTACCAGAATATATAGTAGGATAGGGTGATTCTGAGAACTCTGACATAGAACACCATTATGGATGTTTATTTTTTGCAGAGCCAAGCATATAAAAAGTGGTCTGTTTATTTTTTTAAACCACAATTTAACTTTACACTTTATGACATGTTATTAAAGCTGAATGATTCCTCTTGGTAAGGATATTTGCTTATGAGTGCCAGGAAATAACTCTTTGATACTTGCATTAACAAACTTCCTTTTGCCTAGAGAAGGGAAAGAAAAACGAACCAAAGGATATTTCCAGAAAAAATAAGAAAGCTGTTTAAGAAGGCCATGACTCAGTTCCTAGGTGTGTATACTTTTCAGCATCCTAGGAATTTTAATATAAAAAGTAAAATATGTGTTTCAAATTGCAGTCTTCTTGCTGTTGTTCCCCTTTGTCACAGTTAAAATCAGCGTTGGGAGTTAAATTATAATTTGAGAGAAAATATTACCCAATAAGAATGAATGTAGATGGTTAAACGATTCTTACTCAGTGTGATGTATCATGATGCATCAGGGACCCTTGTAAATTGTCATATGCCAATAAAATGTCATAAGTGGTAATAGCTGTTGTTTGTTTACCTGATTTTGAGACTATTTTTGTCTATTCTATATGACTGATTTCTATGGCCTGTTTCTAGATTTTAAAATATCATTTCATCTATAAGTGAAACTAATGTGGTGTGGCTTGATAAATACTTTTTAATTTCTCAACTCTTTCTTTACTGTTTCTTCTGATCGCCCCCCTCCCCCCCCCCCGGGAAAATGGGAAATTTTATAAGCTGATAAATCTGAGCTATTGTTAATAATGTATAAGAAATTGCTGGTCTTGGTACATGCCTATAAATCTCAGCTACATAGGAGACTGAGACAAAGAATCACAAGTTCAAGGTCAGACTCAGCAACTTAGCAAGACTCTATCAAAGGCTGGGGATGTAGCTTAGTGGTAGAGTCCCTGAGTTCAGTCCCAAGGTTTTGTCCCCAAAGAAAAATGAGAGATTTGTGGCTTAAGTTCTGTTCTTGTGTTAATATAGAACTGTATCAGGCATAATATGGTAGAAATTACTCCTTTCTAAAAATACAGTTGCTAGTTAATAACTGAAAGGAGTTAGTCTTTGTAGTCTTTAAAAAAGATCTGGTTTAATTCTTAACATTGTGCCCTTTAAACTTTTTATACGAAGTATTTTCATAGGACTTGGTGCTAAGACAAATTGATAAATTTTTTTTCTCATACACATGGCAAATTAGCCCTTTAAAACTTGGTTACAGAAGTTAGCTAAGTGTGTAAAAGGATGTATAAGATTCTTGGTAGTTTAGCAATATTGGGTAATTTTAAAGTATACTTCTTTAGTAGGAACAGTACTTTAATATATTTTTTTCTACTTTGTTTAAACTGGACACCCTTTTGGGATCTTATGTTAGATTTCCAGATATAATCTTTTTGCATTCAAGAAGAAAAATATATAGGCTTGTCTCTTCTAAATAAAGTTTCTAAACAAGGCAATGATGTTATTGTCATGAGATCATGACTGGACTGTGTCATGAGTTAGCAGATCCTGATATGTGTCTTAAAAAAAGGAGTAATATCTGTTACATACTTTTAAGGTTCTTAAATAGTCATTACCATTGTTATTTCTGAATATCAAGGGTCTAATTGTTCTTTTTATTGAGGTAAATATTAAAAATCAGGATTTTTAATAAAGTTTTACATGAACACACTTGCTATTACTCAGATTCTTCAAATTCGGGCATCTGTGGAAATCAGTTATTTTATTTCATTGCCTGACTTGAGAGCCTTGGAAGTATTGTGAACTATCAGAAGGTCAGTTAAAGCTGATAAGGCCAAAGGTGTACTTTTAATTAATGCCAGTTCTCTTTGTAGTATATTAGCAAGTTATACCTTAGCCTTTAAAAATGAACCCCACTGATAAAAGAGAACAGATGTCAGGAGTGTACTTGACCATGACTACTACAAAAGAAGTTTGAATCATGTATTTATGATTTGTGCATACAAAATCTATTTTCCTGTGGATATTTTGAGGTGTTTTACAATATAATGGTTTGTAGCACTGCAGAAGAAAACAGTGATTCTTAAAAGAAGAGTTGAATGAGCAGGCATTTAGCGATATTTTCCTAGAATCATCTAATTTTAAAAAATAATCTTGAGATTTCCCATATTCCCTACTAATAAACCCTTTCCTTAATAAAAATAAATGCTTGTAATTACACCCTTGAAATAATCTATGGTCTCAGCATGAATTGTATATTTGGCAATGATAACTTCCTGATACTATCAGTAATTCCAAATTTTCATGGAATGCAAAGGTTCACAGTAAATAGTACCTCCAGAAATAGGGGTTTTCTTGCTACTGTATCTTGTCTCCCTGACTATGCAAGGTAGTACTTTTACCATCTTAGTTCTGTTAGTGAAAGCTCTAGACGTGAAATTTTCCAAGTTGTTTGTAAGGCTGCGTTTCAGATTGTTTTCCTTAAAAGTTAATTATCATCAATGTATAAGAAATTGTTACAGTCTACAGAAATGAACTGGTTAATGTTAATATATATATAGTTATGAAAATGCCTTGTAAAAAATGTCTTATGGACTAATTAGCTCAATCTGAAACTGAGGCATCAGATTTCTGAGTAGTCTAGAGAAATGAAATATAGTGAGGGAAGAGCCATGGAGGTGTTTGATAGGGTTTGGAGTGAGAAATGATGGGTTTTATTTAAAAGGGAAAAATAACGGTTCTATTAATGACTACTGGACCATTATTCACATTATTACTAGAGTATTTCTAGTTTTTAAGATATTTTTCTTGGTAATTCTTACAATCTTTAAAAAATTTATAAAAGTGAGTATTTGTCCTTTACATACAAATAGAAAGGTTCTGTTAAATGAATTTACAACTAAAACTCTAGATTCTCAGCTTTAGATATCCCTTTTTGGGTGTTGGCGGGGGGAAAGGGCATATGGCTTTTTGTTTGGTTAGGATTTTGTTGCCTTCCCCAGTTAGGAGCAGTATTATATTTTTATTTTATCCATTATCCCTGACTTAGTTAACAATGTAGAAAATAGGTTTATTGGCAAAGTAGTCCAACTCTATAGGAAGAAAATTTAGAGCTTCAGTTGACCAACAGGAGCCAAGCAAAGGTAAATGAATACACAATTCTCAGTGTCAAAAATGAGAAGAAACCACTTTTAGGGCATGTAAGTATTCATGATACCAAAACTCAGGAGAACTTACTTTTTCATAGTCATCCTCATTGATGTGTGCCAGGAATATTTTCTAGAATAAGAAAAGTGTTTCAAATGACTTTTTTCCCCCCCAGCCAGGGGCCTTATTCTCAAAGTATAAACTAGGACTTAAAATCAAAACAAAAGTTGTAATCCGAATACAGAGTGCTCCAGAATATTGAACAGAGTAACTGGACTGGAATCTATGTGTTTTGAAGCAAACGGTATATAATAATTGTTTGCTTTTAAAGATCAAGATAAATGTCTCACTAATTCAAAGTGTATAAATGCATGTCTTTAAAGATTAGCACCTCACATGTTTACAGTTTCCTCTGTCTTTTAGAATCTGATTGGAAAGTACAAATTTAACAAATGGTTAGCATTTCTTTAGATATGTGGTATATTAATGTGTTTTTAATAGCAGCCTTGACAAAAATCAATCCTGCATTGATAGTAAATTGAAAACTAGATCTGGATTTTGAGAACAGGTCAGAAGTAGATCAGCTATGAAGAGAGTTAATAAATACCTCTTAAATATACTGGCCAGTAATACATTTAATGTGTAACAACCACAGTTATACTTGAATGCTCTTATATCAGAGGGCATTTGATAATAACAATTATCATTAAGGAAAAGGAGGTGGAACGGTAATTAATTTTGTTGGACTGAAAAATCAAACTTTCAAACTTTTCCTGTCTGGTTAAATAATGCCCAAGAAGCATTACTGTACATAACAGGACTTAGTAATTGTTAATCCTGAGCAATAAAAGGTCAGAAACGTGATTAGATGTAATAAAGATTTTGCCATACAGCTTAGGTACAGACAGCTTGCCTAGTATGCACAAAACCGTGAGTGTGATTTCCCGGCACCTAAAAAGAAAAAGTATTGGCTAAGGAGTTTAAAGGATAAATAGTGGGAAAATTCATTCAGACACCTCAATCCCCCAGCAGTGCCAACGTAGTGCTAAATTTTTATTTAAAATTTCATCAAGGAATATGACTGCCTTAAAAAATGTATACAAGAATTGTTTCCTGAGTCAGTTGTTTGAGCTTTTGGCATAAGGTGTTATAAAAGTATACTAGAAGGATAAAGTATAGGAGAAAATAGAAATAATAAACTTTTAGTGCTAGTTATCATTCAACTAATAAACTCATCATCAAATATTACTATTCAATGTCAAGCTTAATCATTATATCAAGTTCTTATGTCATTTCACCATTAGGGCATTCCAGAATATAACTGAAAACAATACAAATTTTAGATGAGGCACTAAACGTCATTAAAATGGTTGTGGAGAGCTTTCGTGGCGCAGTCATGTTTGTGAAAGTGTTAAAAAGTCTTCTAGCACTTCAAATCTAATTTTACAGCTAAATATAATTTCATGGCTAAATTTAAAAACTGAAAAGAGGGTACCAAAATGTAGCTAAAGTATTTGCAATTGGTATCTGGAAGGAACAAGAATTATGAAGGTGTTCTTTGAAAGTTTAGCAAATATTTTTCTTTAGATGCAGATTCTAAAAGGTACCTCAGACTTCCCTTAAATTCTATTTCTTCTCTTCAGTTTTCCCCTGGACACCTCCACTTTCACTTCACTGGAAACTCCGTTCATCTTTTATATCCGCCCTACTGCAAACTGATGTTATTTTCTTACCACGTAGGCATTGGGCATCCCCATAGAATTTATCTTCTGTCTCCTCTCCACCCTCATAATAGATAGTCATCATTTGCTCCAACTGCCACACTATTCTAAATTCACATGTGTTTGAAGTACATGTGAATCTCATTGGTGCACATATTTTCTTCTTCATATTGCCACGTCTGGAAGGTTTTCTAGTTGTATGATCTATATCATTTTTTAAAAATATGTATTTTTTTAGTTGGAACACAATACCTTTATTTTAGAATTTATTTTTATGTAGTGGTGAGGATTGAACCCAGTGGCTCGCATGTACTAAGTGAGCGCTCTACTGCTAGGCCACCACCCCAGCCCCACGATCCATGTAATTTCAAGCTAGAAACCTTTTCTTTCTGGTGCCTAAACCTTACATCATGATGAACCATAGGAATTCCCTCAGACCTTTTCTTTCTCCTTTCCTTTCCTGTACCCCCCTTACCTTTTTTTTTTTTTTTTTTTTTTTCCTTCTTATTCTGCTACTTACCTATCTTAAAATATTACCTTATCAAGAAATTGCAAATTCTTTTTGCCTTGGGGTCATTGAATGCATCACATTCTTTTAGGCTAGCAAATCATTTTGCTTACATGGCATCTTTTGCCAGAATAAAAATGTGCTGGACAGGAGAGTTAGCTTAGTACAGAAGAGTTAGCTTAGAACAGAAAAGTTAAGATTGTTCATTGCCCAAGTAAAACTGTATTTTGAAATATGTTTTAAGTGAAAACAAAGATGAGAGATCCAAGAGGTTAAGGTCTGAAATACTCGTGGATCTCTTTAAGAGCAAAGAGTACAGTAGAAAAATGCTTAGGGTAAGACCTTTATAGCAGTCAAGTACTAATAATAATGGGTTTTCCTAGAGAAGAGGAGTCAACTTCTGATCATACAGGACCAGGAAAGGCATTTAATATCTGTTTGTCCAGTCTTGTTTGCACATATAAAACTGGAGTCAATAGATAAAAATCATGAAGACTTTCATAAGTTCAATTATAAGCTAATATTTGACAAGTAGGTGCCTAAAAAGTAGAACAGGCAACTGAATAGCAAGCTTTCAGCAGAATTATGCAGAATGGATTGATAACTGCTTGTCAGGAATGCTGGGGTTGGAGAGCTTTTTTTCCTAGTCTGGATTACTTATTCAAGATTAAGCACTTGGAGATGGTGTCTTTTTAAATAAAAATACCAAAAATTCTAGTAATAAAAATTTAAGTTAATTCCTATCATACAACATAGAAAAGTGTAGCAATAACAGTGCTTTTAAAATTCTGAAGGCTTTATGTCAACCCTTACGGCATACCAGGTGACAATTGGACGTAAGCTGTTAGATAATAAAAGTTATTTGGAATTTTAAAGAGACTTTAAATTTGTGTTTCTTGGACCATAACAATATTGAAGGCCTTTGAATCCAAACACTAAGTATAACCTAGACTTTTCTTTTATATAAATCTATAAAGGATTCAAAGAAAAGTCTTTAGAATTTAAATATATAACTTAGATTTTGTAAATTTAATACATCAATACAAGAAGAATTTCTAGATATGTAGTAGTTTAATAGGTAATATGTCTGATTTCCATTACTTCGTTTTGGCATCAGTGTAAAAGGATTTTTTTCAGGATAAATTGAGTTATTTTAGTATCAAGGAGAATCTTGGTTTGGACTACTCTCAAAATTTCAAAAGTTTGAATAAATGAAGAGAGCCTGTCTTGAGGTGTGTAATCTTTTAAATAGCACTAGTAGACTGCATCACTACTGTCTTTGGGCCTCAGTGTAGGCAGGGCAGAAGGGAAAAGGCATATGTATTTTTCATTTTTGAAATGTAAAACTTACATGAAAGCTCTCTGGTCATGTGTGCCCCAATTTGGTTCTTCCTTTTATGAGACTTGTGGTTAAAGTTGGAGAGACTACTGCAGACTTTGGTAGAATATTATATTCCTGCCCTATTAAGGTAATTACAGCATAGTAATTCTGGTTTACCTTACTACCCCAAATTTAGGCTTGGATTACATGGCTTTCCACATAGCAATTGGCAAGATTGGAGTATACATCCATCCATTCCTTTTCTCTTCCTTGTTCTTTGACTGGGTTCTTACCAAGTTGCCCAGTCTAGTCTCAAACTTGGAATCCTCTTGCCTGAGTAGCTGAGATTACAGATGTTTTTATACTGCATTTTGCTGAGTACACATTTCTAAGTTTTTGTCCAAATTAGTCCTTAACCTTTCCATTAATTCATTGAAAAACTGGATGAATAAAACATTTCTGTTCTTGGGGATTCAGTATAACAATGATTTGTTTACAAGAAGATGTAATCAGTGTTTCTGGAAAAACTGTTGGTAGCATGAAAACAGAACCAGTATTTGCAGTAAAGTTAGGTGATGAGATATTTCCATGAATCTCCACATGACAGCAGTTGGAGACAGATCACAAACCTGTCTGGTGTTGGTATCTGTTGAAGTATGGGGAAGAATTAGGGTAGTATTTGATAGACATGAGAACACCAGAATCCCAAGTTAGCCAACAGCCATTTACTGAGAAGCAGCTAAAACTTGGGATTTAATCCTTTTAGTGAATGCAAGGCACCCATCCATACTAAGGACTTGTAAAGGCCAGAGTAGTTCACCCAGGAATCTCTCAAAACTGACGGGCCGGTTTTTTTAGGGACTGGACTCCATGCTGCAGAGAAAATACTTAAACTGGTATCAATTTATCAGGATAAAGAAAATAGAGGATCAAGCTGGGTAGGTGAACAAAGCCAGGAAAATGTCAACAAAGTATTTGAATATGACTCAAAAAAGAAAAAGAAGAAAAATAGAAAAGATAGCTCTCTGAAGTTTTTCTGTACCAGGCCTCATTCTAAAAGTTCAGGAAAAAAATGTAAAGATCATAAATAAGGGGCTGGAGATGTAGCTCTATTGCATCACAAGGCCCTGGGTTCAATTTCCAGCAACACACACAAACACAAAATGATGATCAATAAAAAATAAAGTTGACTCTCAAAAGGTTGTCAAGATGTAATATGAATGTATTAGTAAACCTAAAATGGAGTGAGTATCTCTGAAGAATTGGGAACATTTATGTATGCATTTGACTTGGGTGTTACTAAATCAGTCCTGGAATGAACTGTTAGTGAAGCTAGCAGAATAAATGATTCCGTTTTCATGTTCTCAGGAATATTTTCATTCTTGCCCTATTTCATGCCCTCTTGGATAAGGGACTGGAAAAGGAGGAGGTTTTAATAGTCATGATTTACTTATGAGGGCACAAAGAGGACAAGGAAGGAACTTGGGAGAATTGGGATCTGCTCATTTCATCTAGGGTTTCTGATCCATTTTCCTTTCACATTGTCTTGTTACCCTCTTTACCCACCCTCTTCTTACGATTGAACCCAGGGGTACTCCAACATATCTGCTACCCTTTTTTAAAATTTATTTTTTGTGACAGGGTCTTGCTAAGTTGCTGAGGCTGGCCTCAATTTGTCACCCTCCTGCCTCAGCCTTCGGAGTCGCTGGGATTATAGGCCTGCGCCACTTGCACCCCCTCTTGTCCCGACTTTCATCCTTTTCCAGACTACTGGGCATGTCCCTACCTTAGTTCTGCCATTTGCTAGCCTGAAGTCATTATCATTTGTCTTCTCATTCCATATCTATTTTAATCAACACTTGGATTGAATGCCCACTATGTACTAGACACCTTATTTTATATATGGTGCCCAGAGAAAGTCTCTGATTTGTACACTAGAATGTAAACTCCAGGAGGGTAAAGACCTGCCCGGCTCAGCATCGAATCTTCGGAGATTAGAATAGTGCCTGGCACTTACTGTACATCCACTATTGAGTGAATAAATGACGTCGATCAGGAAAGTTACCCTATTTTTTTTTGTTCTGTAGATCAGCAAGCAGCAGGTGTAGTTATCTAAAATTGTCACTTCCCTCCAACACAACTCCTGCTGAAACACGAGGACAGTCATTGTGCCTCATGAAGATCCACCGGCTAGACCAGGAGAGTGACCGCCCAAGTGAGACGAGACAGGTCCCTGCCCTCTTTCAAGGTCACCTTGATAGTCTGGAATAAGGAGTCTTTCGTGAACCAAGGAATCTTAAATACCACAAAGCTGCCAACACTGAGAACAGTGCTTAGCTCACACTGTCTCAACAGATGTTGGTTGGCTGAACGACCAATAAGCCGCGACCCTCTGTGACAGGCGGACTCGGGTGTAGAGGGTGTCACATTCCCAGCGAAGAACTGGGTGAGGCACAAAGTCCGGATGGCGAGTCGTTCTCAGTGGCTGGTCGTACCTGGGTAGCACTGGCTCTAACCACACAATATTTGAGATAGCGGGGGAAACACAAAAGTACGTACATTCTGCGCGTGCGTCACTCTCCGGGCGCGACCTGCCCGCCCGCCGGCTTTCTATTGGTGGCCTGAATGAATTGTCGCAAGCTTGACGTCATGTACCTGCCAATCAGAAGCAAGCGATCTTCATCCTTGTCCAATGGGATCGGGGATAGGTCACGGCCCGCTGTATTTGATTTTCGTTCACGGACGCGGAAGTGGCGAGCCAGACCTAAGTAGGCGCCACTGGCTTCCTGGGCGCTAGAGGTCTGGGTGCGCCTCCTGCGGAGTTTGTCCCGGCTGATCGCGGAGGTCCGGGACCGACCCCGGTCGGCTCAGGCCCTTTGCTCGTAGCCTCTTTCTGCCTGGCGTCTGCAACTGGTGGTGCGCGGGCCACGCGGGATCCGGGTCTGGGCGCTTCTGTTCCAGGGCCGGCGCGTTCTGGAATTCCTTGCTTGAAGATTCGGAAACCATCTTCCTTAACGCCCTCCGCTTGGTATTTTCCTCGTCGGAAGCTCAGTTTCTGAGGAAGGTGAGCAAGGCTACCTTGCTGGGTTGGAAGAGCCCCTGAGGCAGTAAGCGACACTAACGGGCCCTGGTAACACACAGCGTGTTACTTAGTAGTGGAGGACTACCGCGCGTTCATTCTCCTAATATTTAAAATGAGCGCAGAGGGGTGGGATACTCAGCTAAATTTGTGAGACGAGATACCAGTCTTCTATTATTATTATTATTATTTTTTAAGAGCGATGAGACAGGTCCCTGCCCTCTTTCAAGGTCACCTAAACTCATCCCTCTTCTGAGCCACTGCAGAGAGCATTAAGGATGGACTGAGCTTCCCTATCGCAAACTGACTTAAAACCTTTCCCTGCTACTTCTCTTTTATAGAATCAGGCATCTTATAAAATTTGAGTGTAACTTAAGTTTTGTTTATACTTCCCCCACCTCCAACAATATTTTTTTCTCTCCTTGATGCTGGCCAGAACTTGGGAGGCTGAAGCAGGAAGATCACAAGTTTGAGACCAGCGTGGGCAACTTAGCAGACCCTGTCTCAACAGCAAAAATAAAAAACCCCAAAAAGGCTGGGAATGTAGCTCAATGGTAGAGCCCCTGGATTCAGTCCCCAGCATTGCAAGAATGATGCTGGCCAGGAGAAATTAGTTGGTGGTGTAATGAAAGGTCCCTTCTAAGCTATTTAATGTAGTTTATGTGGCAATTATTTGTCAAGAGTAATACTTTCTACAATTTTTCCCAAAGGTACCAGGAAACTGATAATGTTTCCTTGAATTTTCTTCAATGTCTCTCATACTGAATATCTTAAGAGAGATGCTGGCATATTTTGGTGTTCCCATAGACCAGGTAATGTCCTAATACATTTGAATGATTCTGCTGTCTTTGTTATTCTGTCTTATTTTTAAAATAATTTGTATGTAAACATTTAAGGCAAAATTGTTAATTCTCTTTAGGTGGAACACAGGTGAGTTAGTACAGTATAGTTTTGATAGTTTGAATTAGAAAAGGGTGGATAAGATTATTGAGAACCTTTTTACTTCCTGGGTCAAATGTGAAAAGAAGATGAAGGCACAATGAAGACATGACCTTTACAGAATTATATTTATTGCATAGATAAAGTAATTTGTGAGCAGTTTGATGTTTGGGTGTACAATGGCAAAATTGAAGCTCAGCAATTCAGAATAAATCTGAGGGTGAGAGGATGACTTAGGCTTGGGAATTATAAGCAAGTCCAATTTTGTCTACTTGTTGAACATCAACATTGGAAAAGTGTTCTTGGTTCTGCAGATAATTTAGAGGCAATACATGGTTCTTGTATTCATTATGTTTATGGGCAATAAGAAACAAATATAACTATAGTATGAGATTGACTATAAGAAAGACCAAATAGCATAGTGGCTTACAAATGGGCACATCATTGCTATTTGGTGGAGTGAATTAGAAGAGTAGTAAGGATAATGCTAAGATTTTAAACAAAAGTAAATTGAAGAATGATGGCACCATTATTATAAGTAGACAACTTAGTAGCAGGATATGAGAAAGTGATTTGAGATAAAGTGAGCTAGAGGTGTTGTTGGAATATATAAACAGAAATGTCCCATAGACAATTGTTTAGTTGGTTCTAGAAGCTAGGAAAAAAGAGAGATTTGGATTTGGGAGTTAGCTGCATTGTTTTGATATCTGAAGCCATGGATTTTGATGACATAATGGAAGATGTTATTAGATGTTTTTGAAACATTGAAATCTCAGTGACAGACTGAAGACAGGGAGGATTAGATAGCAGTTGAAGATTTACTTATCATTATTGGGTTATTGGTGCCTTTAAGAATTTTTGTAGGAGGAGATAGGATTTAATTGGGTGGAGTAGTTTGAAGAATATGAAGACGTGTCTTCAACAGCCTTCTTTTGAATAGTTTGCTTGTGAGAAGAAATTGAGAGATTTCATCAATTTGAAGGGGCAGCAGGATTAGACTTTACTTTTCTTTTCAAAGTTAGAGGCAACTTTTAGCATATTTGCACTAAGTACAAATGAGAGAGGGTGATTGAACATTGTCTTGGAGAAGGTAATTGGACAGGGAATCTGAATAAATAAGCCTCAGGAAGAAGAGAAACAGTCTAAACTTAAGGAATAGAATAAAAGTGAGAGATAGTGGAGAGAGATTTTGAATGGAGAGTGTTAATGTAAAATAACAATTCTGTTTTAAAGGAAATAAGAAAAAAGTTTATTTTGAGCCAAATGTGAGTATCTATAGCCTGGGAACATGAATTCAGATTACCTGAAATGATGTTACACCATGGAAGAGGTTTCATGAGCTTTTATAGTTACAGAACAAAAGAAAGCTGTAAGTCAACACTTAGGTGGGCTATGCCAAGGTGGGCAGATCTCTTCCATGGGATTTAGATGTTATCACATTCTCAGCTTTAGGGTTGATGGAGGCTAGAGCTGTGTCAAGCTTAGTAATACATTCTCAGAGTTTTATCTAGAAGTTAGGGTATTAGGTCAGATACAGAGGTTGACAGGAAATGGCTATTAAAAGGGACTAAAGATAGCCCAAGATACCATGCCTCATTCCCTGTCTCCACAATAAAGGTTAGTCTGCAGAATCTTTAATATGGATGCAGCTTGTATAACTTCACAAGGGAAATCAAGTTGAGATATCATGTTGAAATCTGGCTTACTCAGAGCAGAGGCAAGGTCATGTGCAAGGAATAGAAGTGGTCATACAGGGGATTTCAGAGATTAGAGATAACTTTGGGTGACATAGTACAACATGTCATGAAGTTTATATGTGCTTACTTTCATCTTTTTTTTTTTTTTTTTTTAAATCGGTACTGGTGGTTGAAGCTAGGGTCTCATGCATGCTAGGCAAGTGCTCTATGACTGAGGTTCGTCCCTAGGCTTTTTAAAAATTTTTCAATTTTATAACATGGTTTTGTTAATTGTCGAGGCTGGCCTTGAACTTGTGATCCTCCTGCTCAGCCTCCCAAGTGGCTGGAGTTGCAGGTGTGAGCCACCACACCTAGCTCATTCTCCTCACCTTGCCCTACTGACAAATATTAGTAAAGTTCAATTCTTTGAAGAAGACACTTACCCCCATGCTGGGGATCAAACTCAAGGCCTTGTGCTTGCTTGGCAAGCTCTCTACCACTAAAATAACACACCAAGCCTCATGAAGAAGATACTTTGAGAGTGTGTGTGTGTGTGTGTGTGTGTGTGTATATATTTAGACATGTACATTTTAATTAGTGTACATTTTAGGTAATAATTCATGTTTAAATAGGTTTTGCTGACTTGGGAAAATAAAGACTATGGATCAACTCGGAGTATTGTTCGTATTATTGGGAAAATGCTTCCTTTAGAACCTTGTAGAAGACCTGCTTTTGAGGTAAGTCAGTTACCATGAGTTAAGTCCAGTGTATAAAATAATTGTAGGTACTCCTAAGTATTTAGGGTAGAACAACAAAAGGAAATGTTTTCTGTAAGCCAGGAACCTTTAATTTACCTCTGGATATAAGTCATTTTGCATTTGCTTTTGTGGTTACTGTTTCTTTTAAGTAATTAGATTTAAAAAAAAAAGAAGAAGAAAGAAAACTGGCAGTTGCAAGAAAGACTCCAGAGCATATTTTATTTTACATTGTATGACAGATAAGAGTGACTAGGCTACAGAATAGCATTGACCCCAGTATTTTTTCTTGCTAACAGGTGCATGTGCTTCTACTGAAGAACTTTGTTCCTTTTCTCTCTTTGGGGTTGTTAATTTATTTAATGCCATGGGATATGGGACATGGGCCTTCTCTGACTCCCTGCAAAGCTCTGACTTTTTTATTTTTTTGCTTTAGTTGATCCCGCACTTGAACTCTGTAGAATCTGATAATTGTGGATCTATGGTTCCATCTTTTGCTGATGTTTTATGTGTGGCAAATGATGAAGAAGCCAGTTATCTCAGATTTCGGTAATTTATATGCTTATTTTGGAAGTATGACATAATCTATAACCTGAATTCTTGCATGTGTTAAAAGTTTGCTCAAGTTGATTGAACTTTTTTGTTCTGTCTGGCTCTGTCCTGTGCTGTGTTTTACTAATCCCTCCTTATGTGGGTGGTCTCTCTTTCTCTCTCTTTTTTTTAATAGTTTTTCTTTTTTTATAGTTTTTATTTTTCTCTTAGGGAGAACTAACTTATGTATTAGTATATTCAGATACAGACTATAAGTATAATGAGTGTCAGTTACTAAAAGATTCTGGCTGAATTTATTATGTGTCAAACTGGCTTGTTAATTTTCAAAAAGTTTGAAGTTCAGGGCTTGAATCCAGGGGTGCTTTACCACTAAACCACATCCCCAGCATAATCTTGAATTTGCTGTGCTTCAAATACTATGCCAAGTCCACAAGAATGAAGTGATGTGTAAGTGTTGTATTAGGTATTTTAAGTAATCTAGAGAAGATTTAAAGTATGCAAGAGGATATACATAGGTTAAGTGCAATTATTGTACTTCTTTATGTAAGGTACTTGAGCATTCTTGAATTTTAATATCTACATGTGTCCTGGAACCAGTTACCCACACACACTGAGAGAGGACTGTATTTTAAAATTGAATGTTAGTCTCTTAGGTAAGAGAACTAACTTATGTATTAGAATATTCAGATACAGGCTATAAGTACAATGAGTGTCAGTTATTAAAAGATTCTGGCTGAATTTATTATGTGTCAAACTGGGTTGTCAATTTTCAAAAAGTTTGAAGACCATAAACTAGCTCCCTTACCTCTAACATAATCCTGAATGGAAGGCCCTTCAGCTCCTCTGCAGAATTTCTAGGAAAATTAACCTATACTGTGTTTAAAGTTAATAGGTTAAGCAATTACAAGATAATTATTTTTATTGTACAATCTAAAAGAAAGGTTAACTTTCATTACCAGTCACATATTGGCCATCTATTAGAGGCTGTATTCTGTTTTTCATATTGAGAATACAATACTTACAAAGCACAAAAAATTGTGCTTGTCCTTAGTGAGTCAAGAGACGATCACAGGGGAAAATGTTGCTCTGATTTTGTGGTGTTGTCTTTTCAGTGCTGGGGATCAAACCCAGGGCCTTTGTGCATCCTAGGCAAGGGCTCTAACATGGAGCTATACCCCCAGCCCTGCTTTATTGTCTTGCTTTCATGAGAGATTTTATTTTCTTTAGATTGAAAATCTCCCTTCCATCCTTTGCTTTTTCCTTCTACCCACAGAAATAGTACATGGAAAAATGAAGAAAAGGAAAAAAATGAATTTTCCCATCCTTTACAACCAATTTTGGATCCACTGTTATCAGCTCAAAGACAGAACAAACCAGTGAAAAATGATCTGCCCGTAAATGAAGCTGCAATTAAAAAAATAGCTGCCCTTGAAGATGAGCTTACTTTTCTTCGCTCTCAGATTGCAGCAATTGTGGAAATGCAGGAACTAAGAAATAGAAAAAAATCTGGTGAGTAATATGTTGGACTTTTGTTTCAGCTAGATGATAATTATTGGTATTGAGTTAGTACAATTCTTAATAAGAACTGTGAACAGTATTAAATGTATGATAACAAAATTTGAGTATATAGATTTATTATATCTGATGTTTATTCAGAATAGATCTAGCTATTGCTACTGATGATTGCATTTTTTTTTTTATTAAAAAATTCTTCCCTTTTAAGAAGCTTTCCTAGCTTTCAGAACATTGGAGATTAAAAGAAAGAATCCATTGGTTTGAAAGAGGCAAACAGGCTTGTGGCCTCATTATAGTTTTTACTTAATGTTACTACACTTCCACCAAGTTCAGGTGAACAATATTTTTCAGATGATCCTTTTCTAAATTTTTAGAGCTATAACTTGCTTTAAACACAAAATTTAAAGCAACATAGGTACTAAGAACTTTCCACAACAGATTTGGTCATAAAGGGCTATATGTAAATAAAGCTGCTAAAAAATTGAATAATGTATATGCATATATAGTATATAAGCATAATTTATACAGCATCAAGATGTGTATAGCATGTGTTTATAATAATTTATACATAAATAAAGCACATAGTATATAATAGTTATATAAACTCATAAAATAAATAAATACACAACTTTTTTGTCAAGTAATTCGTGTTTACTCACAGTTCTTCAGAAGCAAATCTGTTGTGAAAAAGCTAAATAATCTGTACCTAAAAAATAATGTTTATTTCTCAAATGTCAGAATGAAGTTCAAATTGTATGTGAATTATGGAAAAACACTTTCTCTTGAAAATACATTCTTTAGGGCCTGCCTACATGGAGAATTTCTAGTTGAATTACAAGTGAATTCACAATTTGGCTTGACTTTACAGAAGCTACTAAACAGATGGGATTAATTCTTCTGGGCTATCATATCACTGTTTTAGCATCATTACAGAGTTGTTTTGTTTTGTTTCTCATTACTCTTATATGTTAGAATTTTGAATGTTTTTTCAACAGACTACTTTGCTTTTAGGCTCCTTTGACTTGAATGATGAGCCCCCTGGTGTGGGAAGAATGCCATCACGGGCAACCGCTGAACTGAGTGTAGAACCAGATCAGTTTCCAAGTGCAATGCTTTCTCCTCCTTCACCACCACCGCTTCCTCCTCATTTTTCTTCTCCTCAGCTTTCAAGTTTTCCTCCCATACAACCAGGATCTACTAATATTTGTGACTCAGATAATCCAATAGCTGAAATGAAAAAGCAGCACCCCGGTGCTAAGACCAATTATAGTCATCATTCAAAAAGCCAGAGAAATAAAGAAGTTCCAAACATGTTGGATGTTCTAAAGGATATGAATAAGGTCAAGCTCCGTGCTATTGAACGGTATGTTGTCATAATTTGGGAAAAGAACTAGACTTTTGTCAATGATGTTTTTAAAAAAATTGTTTATGAAAGTTGACATATGTCTTTCTTCTTATTCCTCATCACCCTGAATGTTCCTCCCAGAGATACTCATTTTTAATTCTTTTTTAAAAAATATTTATTTCGTTATAGATGAACACACAGTATCTTTACTTATTTTTATGTGATGCTGAGGATTGAACCCAGTGCCTCACACATGCGAGGCAAGCACTTCACCACTGAGCTACAGCCTCAGCCCCTTTAATTCTTTTTTGACTATTTCTTCTTTCTTTCTTTCTTCCTTCCTTTCTCCTTCCCTTCCCCTGTTCTCCCCTCTCCTGACCTCTCCTCCCCTCCCTTCCCTTCCCTTCTCTTCCCACCCTTCCTATCCCTACCCGTCTCTTTCCTTCTCCACTTAGTCTTCCTCTTATCGACTGTTGTGTTTTCCAGTTAACCAAGTCATTTATTTATGGTTTCAGTTACCCATGGTAATTGTGGTCTGAAAATATTAAATGGAAAATTGCAGAAATAATAAAGTTTAAGTTGTGTGCTAATCTAAGTAGCTTAAGAAACAGTAGGCATTCAGGGAAGATCATATATGAATGATCAGACAAATGAACAGTCAGCCTAACAGTTTTCTTCTTATGAACTCTAGTCCTTTTAAAAGGTCTTAAATATTTATTTAAATTTTCCTACTTATCGGAAAATTAGAAAATTAAAAATAAAGGTTTTAAGCACAGTGATATTTCAGGAGTCCCAGTTTATAGCAAGTTGTGGTAGAATCCTAGCCCACATGGTTTCTTGTTTTTCTTGTTCACTGTGCCCTCCAAATTCCAAATATTAAAGTTTTAATTTACTCCATTTTTAAAAACAGGTCACCTGGTGGTAGACCCATTCATAAGAGGAAAAGACGAAGTTCACATTGGGATCCCGTGTCCTTAATATCACATGCACTTAAGCAGAAATTTGCATCCCAAGAAGATGACTCCTTTGACAAAGAAAATAGATCTTGTGATTCTTCTCCATTTAATAGATCTTGGGAGTCTTCTCCATTTTCTAGTCCAGAAGCTTCAAGGGTGAGCTATAACAGTATAAAATTTTAATGTCTAAGTTTTTCTCAAGTATGCTGTTTGTGATGTAGCTTCATATTTAAGTTCTCTTGAAGTAATTATGCAGGATGGACTATAAATTGTTGGCATTGCTTATTGTTCTTTAGCTTACAAAATAAAACACTTGGTTTGGAAAAGATATGTGCCTAAGTTTATAATTGTTTATCCTACATAGGCGCTAACTTAATGTTACAGTCTGCAGCATGAAGTGGGGGTCTGAAGCTGAGAGGACCAGGGAAGAACCATGCAGTATATTCAACCTTACCATTTCAAAGGCACCACTCCAATATTTGATGCAGTCAAATATAAAGACTGGATTATTTAGTTGCATGGAATGTTATCTCTACTTTTAACAAAGCAAATGGGATTACAGTTATCTTTCATAACAACACTTACTGGATGCTGAAAAAGTCACATGCTTTTTGGGTGGTGTTCACATCACAGAATTTAGTTGAGGTAGTACATAGAAGAAGCCTTAGAAATGAGAGGAGCGTGGAAGAGGCACAGTGTTGAAGTCAGGTAGGTATCACTGCTGAGTGACCTGCAGCAGCAGAGACTGGGAAACTGCAGTGCACACGGGGCACTCAGCATAACGGCCCTCCTCATAGTCCACGGTGTGCAGGCTTTCAGTCCACTGTGTGTGTCCAGTCGTCATATGCTGAGCACATTGACTCAGAAAATGATGTTCTTTTTCAGTTCATGCTGCAGACTGTAAGACTATTTAAGAAGAAAAGTATATAGTTTACTAAAATGCAAATGTGTCAAATACTAAACATTTATATAGCAATTTATAATTTGCAAGTATAGGTTTTGCATTCATGGATTCAACCAGCCATGTAGAAAAATTTTGAAAACAATAACAAAAACCCTATATCAGTAGAAGCCTATAGAAGTTTTTCTTGTCATTATTTCTTTAACAATATAAGACAACTACTATTTACAGAGTGTTTATACTGTATTGGCATTACAAGTAATCTAGGGATGATTTAATTTATATAGACGGATGTGTTTAGGTTTATATGCAAGTTATGTCATTTTATATGAGGGACCTGTACATCTGTGGATTTTGGTACTCCTGGGGGTCCTGGAACAAATCCTCTATGGATACTGAGGGAGAGCTATTTTTTTTTTTTAACTCTTGTTTGATCCTTATAGGAATACTCTAAAAGAAAAAAATAATGTAAATATTGCTTGTTTTACATATGAGGAAAATGAACTTTCACTCCCCATAATCTTACATCTAAGCAGAACAGATTAGAGTTTTAGTATATTAAAATTTAAATGAGACACACTGGCAGTGTGTTCCCAGTGGCAGTGTTCAGTAAAGTATTACTGAGTTGTCATATACTGTTTGCTCTTTGTTCAGTGTCCCTTAGTATTTTCTTTCCAATCAACTCTGAGCCTTTTAGTGGAAGAATCAAAAACATCCTTTTGTATATTTTATAACACCTAGTTTCAGGCTCGAGAAAGGGACTTAAATTTTAGTTGACTGGGATCTCATTCTGCTATGGTTTGAATATGTCAGTGTCCCCCAAAGGTTCATGTATTAAAGCATGTTCTATAGGGTGGTCCTCTTGGGAGGTGCTGTGAGCCTACTGGGAAGTCCTTGGGTCACTGGGGGCATGCCTCTAAAGGGAATTGTGGGACTCTGGCCCCTTTATGTCTTTTTCTTCTTCCCAGCTCATGAGGTGAACAGTTTGGCTCCACTATACACTCCTGTATGATGTGCTGCCCTTGCAGAGGCCCAAAGCAATGGGGCTTTTTGATCTTGGACTGGGACCTCCAGAACCATGAGCCAAGAGAAACCATTTATCTTTATAAGTTAATTGCCTTAGATGTTTCATTATAGTATCACAAAGCTAACGCATTCTCCATGGTTGAGAGTGTCTTTGCACACTTCTGTGTCTTAAGCACTGAGAATAGTGCCTGATGTGGCCTACCCTCAAGTCACTATTTACCATCGAGTGAATTAAACATTGGGGTCATCTGGTGTTTTTCTTGCCATTCTTTTTCTACATTTGAATAATTTCTGTGTTGAACATTTGTTTTATTTCAGTTTGGACATCACAATTCACAGACAGAAGGACAGTGATCTGAGGGAAGAGCTGATAATGCACAAAAGCTGTTGGACAAAGTATTGGGCACAAAAAGTCTTTCATCACTTGGAAGGAAAGATGCAGAAATATGGCAGCATGTCTTTCGCTGCCTTTCACAGGATCAGCTCCTCTGCCCAGGATTGTTGAATGAAGCCTGTATCCTGGGACATGTTAGGGCCCTGGTCTGAGGAAGAATACCTGTCTCCGGTTTTGGAAGATTCTGCAGTTAACTGACTACTGAAGAGAGTTAGGTGTATGGATTTTTTCCCATATATGTCAACATTATTGAAAGCTGACTATACGTTCCAACAATTGTCCTCAGCAATTCTGACTTCCCAGTTTAAAAGCCTTTGAATCTTTTAAAAATCGGTAGTGATCTGGCTTACATGGCCTCCAGTAACTTGGAGATTTTCAAAGAAGATAAAATTATAATTTATTAAGAAACTCTTAGTTTTAATCATAGGGTTAAGCTTTTTGAAACTTCTTCCTGAGACAATAAATTAGTCTTGGACACAGATTTTGTTTAAGTGATATAAGTACAAGTATTTAAAGAATCTTCTTGACATGTTTTGCCTGCACTTGTGATGTAAACATGTATGCCTGACATCTGTTTCTTTCATTCTGTATTACATTTATACATTGTTCTTTTGCAAATAGATTGTACAATAAATGTGTCTTTTGAACATGATTGTGTTTTGTAGCAATTCAAATGAATGCTTTCTCACTACTCACAATGTGTCAGAGAGAGGGAGTTCTGTAGGTAGTTTCTTGGGAAATAAAAAGGAAACATATTTGACATAAGATCTTGTCCCTCTTCACCCACATGCTGATGTGATATGGAAACTTATCAGCCTGTGCAACAGCCAGGGAGTTAGAAACCATCTCAGTGGACTCGGCACCCAGCCATTTTGCCAGGCTTTCTACTTTCTGAAAAGTTTAGGCTTCTGTTTTCTTGCTGTGGCAGAGGGTTGGTTGCCTGGTCCCATTTCCATTTCCAACTCCATTCTCCTGGTACCTGCCATTTGGTTGTGGTCATGCTGTTATCATCTTATGTCCGTGGGGAAGAGGCTTTGGGTCACTGAGGTGCAAACCCTGACATTCTGAGTTGTTTAACCACACCAGCAAGACTAACCAGACTTGTTAGAAAGATTATCTTAGAAAAACCTGCCTCGTGGGTCTTCTGCTACTGTGGCCAAAGCACTTGTAACGGTACAGCAATATGGTAGGGTATGAGGTCTGCTAACTGTTCCTAATGATGTGGTTTTCTGATCTTTCTTATGCTGCTGTCAGTAGTTTGGTATTGTTTCTGCCCTGTTTCCTCACTCTGCCTTGTGTCATTGTCCTTATAACAGGAATCTTTCCCCTGAAATAATTGCTTTCTGTTCCCCAAGGTAGGCTTGCATTTTGTTTTTTAGTTTCTTTGTTCAAAAGTATAATCATGTCCCCTCCCCCAGCAATCAGCAGAAACCTTGAATGATGCTGTCCTTGGCCATGTGAAGTGTTTCCTGATAAATCTCAAGTTGTTTTGTTGATGATTTTGAGTTTTCTGTTCTACTTCAGAATGAATTTCCTGCCTTCCTCAAACACATTTTAATACCAATGATGTATTGGAATCAAGTTGACCTTGGATACCCCTCTGTTCAGAAGTTTTGACTAATGGTGCCAGGGACCCTAAAATCCTCCCCCTTCCCCGCACCCCCAGCAAGCCTCTCTAGTGGTCTGAGCCTGGGTACCTGGTGACTTGTGTTCACTATAGAGGTCAGAGGGTTGGGAATTTAGTTCAGGCTTTCATCATGAATCTGTAAATAAGTTACCTAATATCCAGATTGTATTCATAAATTCGTACGTTATTACTTTATGTGTTTTTCACTCAGGATTGAACCAGGGGCTACTGCATACTAGGCAAATGCTCTACCACTGAGCTACATTGCCAGTACTTACATTTAAAAAAAAAAATTGATGTGGTCTCCCTAAGTTGCTGAGGCTGGCCTCAAACTTGCCCTGGCCTCAGGCTACTATATATAACAATACAACACACAGGGTATCTAATTGGCAAAAATTTATTTCACAGTTCTAGAGCCTGGGAAGTCTAAGATCAAAGTGCCAGAAGGCTCAATGTCTGCTGAGGGCCTGCTTTCTGGTTCATACACAGTGTCCTGCTGGGTACTCACATGGTAGAAGGTTACTTGGCTCTCAGGGATCTATAAGAGTGCTAACTAATCCTAACTGGGAAGGCTTCAGCCTCATAATCTAATTCACCCCAAAGGCCTTACCTCCTAATATCACCTGGGGTGTGTGGGGGTGAACACCATTCCAACATATGAAACTTCAGGGGACATAAGCATTCAGTCCGTTGCAAATTATGTTTGGTGAGGAACAGCCATATATGTGGAAGGTAATTTATATGGTAGAAATGGGGGAAGAGTTTTAAAAAGTCTTCTGGATATTAAGCATGTACTTTCTTCAGATCAGAGAAGTTAAATACATAGTTGGATTTATTTTATTTTTTTTTTTTTTTATTTTTTTTTTTTTTAATTTTTTATTGTGGGTTGTTCAAAACATTACAAATTTCTTGACATATCATATTCCACACTTTGATTCTAGTGGGTTATGAACTCCCACCTTCACCCCATACACAGATTGCAGATTCACATCAGTTACACATCCATTGATTTACAAATTGCCATACTAGTGTCTGTTGTGCTCCGCTGCCTTTCCCATCATCCTGGATTTATTTTAAATTTAAATTCTCTCCCTTCCCTCCAAAAAATCCCAGAGAGGTCAAGAACAGTGAAACGCAAGATTTTTATATCAGAAAAGGGGTGTTGCAGCTTGGGTTTTCTGGGGAGCAGACTGAGATTACTATGCAGCGAGTTTCTGGGTGTGTTCTCTGGATAGCACCCGTGCAGGAGAAGGAGAAGGGTTGGGTGAAAGCAGTTGTCACTGCCACAAGGTCCTCAGCAGATCCCACAGGGGGCTCTCTTGTTCCTTGGTTGGAGTCATCTTCTATGGCTCTGAGCATTCTGGGTCTTTACACTTTGATCAGAGAGGGTTGATTGGCAGGTCTGAAGATGGATCATGATAGTGTATCATAGTTACAGGGAACACAAGTTCCAAACATGTTGCAGGGCCCACTGAATTAGACATGACATCGTGCTGGAAATAGTACGGTTAGCTTGAGTAATATTAATTGCCTAGAATTACCAGCCTCATTGCCCTGCATCCTTCTACAAGGCTAGATCTTAAACTCATCCTCTTGAAAATGGTTGCATTCTTAAAATTGGGGGTCAGAAAGCATTTCTGTCACTAAAGATGTGTCCCTTTTGGATCCTCGGATTTCTGTGCCTGTGGATTGGCTTTGGTATCACAGCAATTTCTGTAGTGGCACGTGGAAATCAGGGGATGGGTAACCTATGGCTGGCTGGTCATAGCTTAGTCCTTTTCTCTTTATGTAAATAACTTGCATTTATGATGATTCAGGGGATTAAGCAGTTATAACAGCGTGGAAATGTACCAGGAGAACCGAATCATCCATTCTTTGGGCCTCAAGCTGCTCAACTGTCCAATGAGACCAGATGGTTGCAGGGGCAGTTTTCGTACTCTGTACCAACAATTCTTACCAGAAAGATGTGGTCTTGGGCTAGTTACCAGGGGGAAGGATTCTGTGGGTCCCTGAGAGCTTCTGTTATAGGGACCCAAGAGTGGTCTAAAGCTTATCTATAAGGCTACAGTGTTTTAGGTCAGAGCAACAGCTCTCATTTTGAATGACACTTAGGTACAAGATGCTGCTGTTAGTGATTTTCATATGTTGGCTCATTCAATCTGCATATCAACACGAGGAGGTGTAGACTATTGTTAGCCTCACTTTACAGGTGAGGAACTAAGTATGGAGAGAGGGCCTCCATCTCAGTAGCTCCTTCAGGTTCTCACAGTTGGTCAAATAGACGACTTGAGATTTGAATACAGGCAGATGGGTTTTCCAAACTCTGTTTAATTCCTCAGTAACACTGCCAATCTCATTTTTTTTTACCTATTTATTCAGACTTTGCATTTTTCCAGAAGGTATTTAAGGCAGTTAACAAGGATATATTTATGCATGGAACAGTGAATTGAAAGGGATATAAAAAAGTAAGGCTACAGTTTTTTATATTTACCACAAGGGGGAAGTATAATACTAAGTGCACCCAGGCTGATGACAACCTGTTAACCACATTCGGATGACAAATTTTTAGAAATTATAGACAAAGCAAGGTTTGGTCAAATATTAATTGCAAAATCAGATTGTTAAAAAGTTCCTTAATGAATTATAAATAATCATACCCTTGATAGATCAGAGACTATGTCATGAAGCTAATTCAACTTTTTCCCCAACAAATAAATATTCTATAAAATTCAATGATGAAAGCAAGGGATGCTATTGCTGATTGTTAAATGTCAAGACTGCACTGGGATTCTCCCAAGTTCTTCTACTTGAGTACAATTATTTATTTCACAACTAGGAAGAAGCACAAAGCTTATTTTTAATAATGCCATTACAGTTCTTGCTTTTATCCCAATACACACCAGTAAATTAAAGTGGTGGAATTTTTACTAGGTCACATGCAAATAAATACTTCGAAAGATTCTTCAATTGTTTAAAAGATCCTATCTTCATTTTTCCTCCCTTGCATCTTAGCCCAGCGTCTTCCACAGCTGAACTAAGCCTGGTGGAAAGTAAATCTTGATGAGGGTATTTGCAATTTCGAACCCAGCCGCTGGGGCACAGGAACTAAGGTGCCTGGGATTATCATCTCAGTGGGAGAATGCCCTGACCCTTTTGGATTTAGCCTTTGGTATCTGCCTGTTTCTGATTCTGATTCCCCCAGAATCCCTTCAGTTCACCTCTCTGTTCAGGCTTGTGGCCTTGTCCTTGACAGCTGGTGGACAGGGGGCCAGTGCTCTGCCTGCTTATGCCAACCCTTCTTCTCGTGAAACCAGCCCATGCTTTCTGCCTGTTGTAGTCAGGCTGTCTGTGGTCAAATGAAGATCATTAATCTTAACAGCTGAATTCGTTGAACACTGAATCTGCACTAGCCATGGCACTAGGCACTTCACACGCATCAATTTGTTAAATCCTCACAATAATCTTAATGAAATAGGTACCACCATGCTCCATTTTTCCCGAGGACACTGAGGAACAGAGAGGTAAATACTTTACCCAAGATCATACCTAAATTAGTAAACTCCTAAACTGAACTCAAACTTGGGCAGTCTGGCCTCAGATCCTGAGCTCCCAATGATAATCCACTCCTTCCCAATGACTGCTGCCATTTCATCTGACTGTAAAGTTGCTTTCCCATGCTCTAGAGCAGCATGCAACTTCTGGTCTCCATGGCTGGCTTAATCTGTGCCTTTGCTGTTTCCACCAGTGGGAATTCCTACCCATTGCTCAAGACAATGTTTAAAGGCATTTTTCTCAGAAGACTTTTTTTTTTTTTTTTTAAACCTCCTGTCTACCCTGCAGCAGATAGGACCATTTTCTACTTTGTTTCACACGGAACCAAGTATCCTCTCTGCTACTGGACCTATTGCAGTTATAATTGATTTCTGACCTGTTGTTCCCCAGCTCCCCTGGGATCTTTTGACCAACTTAGAGGTAGGGACTGGGTCTTACTCATCTCATTTCTTCATAAATCCAAACAACAATCA